TTTCACTTTGCATCAGTGGCTTATAAACAGATTTATTTTATAGTGGAGTGAGATATGGTGATGTAGACATTAACCTCTAACCATTTGCAAAAAGAGCAAACCTAACACAAGACTGAATGCTTAGGTAGACACTGGTTTACTTCATTGCACTTAACCAGACTTCACACCTAAAGAGACCCAGTTGCCAGATTCTTCATTTCAACAACAATCTTCCCATAAAATTATATGTGCAATTACAGTAATTTAGACATGTTATTTACCTGTAAAAGCCTCCCTTGAATAAACAGTCAAAAACCCTGAGACTGCTGATTTGTACCACCATCTTGGATGTGATGTTAACAGCCCCAACAGACTCAGAACTGTCACTCAAGTGACTTACTATATAAGAGGGGGGGCAGAGGAGTTGGTCCAGGCAGTAATTAGATGCTCCCTAGAGAGTAGAGGTCTGTGATGCGCAAGGAGGAAGAGGGTTATGCTAGGGAACTGACACTTTCTGGAGTAGTAGCTAGCAAGTTTGGAGCACAATAAACAAAAAACGCTGCAAGTAATCATATAAAGTATTTTATTTTTTGTGCACTGCAAGGGTTTCATTTTGCTTATGTCTAGGGGTATTGTGTAAAGGACCTTTCACTCACCTGATCCCCGATCCTGCTGGCTCCAAAACAGTCACTTGCAGCCTCTTCCCCCCTACGCTCCAGTAGTCAGAGGCCCGCTGACATCAAGTGCAATGCAGGGCCCATAGCCCTGCATTATGGGCGTGGATGCTGAAGCATAGTCCACAAGCCGGAGTGTAGGGGAGAGAGGTAGCTGCCGACCACTGTAAGAGTGAGGATCATGTAACCAACAGACCTTTATACGGGTCCCCTAAACATTAATGAGTAGTTAACCCTTGCATTGTAGAGGTAGCCCCACTGCATGGGGAGTTTGTTTTCCTCCCTGGAGATAGAAGTAAATCATGCGCAGGAAAACCCAGGCAACTAGCATGTTTCAGGCCAGGTTCAGTAGTGACAACCTACATTTTCCTTCAGTACAGGTTTCATGTAAGGATAACCTGACGTGTCAGGCAAAACTGCCAGATATCTCAGTTCTGTTTTGGTTATGGGCACTTTTATATGATCATTTGTATACGCTAATAGTAGGTTTGTTGCACACACCAATTTTTTGTATTAGGGTTACAGTTTTTTTAAGAACTTGCTGGGCCCCTCCAGAGCCTGAGGCCCCGGGCGCCCGCACCGCCTGCACCGGCGATAGTTCCGCCACTGCCATGCACATCATCTCAGGGGAGGAAAATGCCTTTCACTGAGATGAGATTTCCCAGCAATGCTCTGCTGATGTAACCTTCCTATAATGCAATGCTTGGGCAAACTGAAGTCATTTTGCCCTTTCAGAGCAGGAAGTGAATGCTCTGCAAGTGTAAGTATTCCAAAATCACAGCATTTTACACTGGTCATGTCTATATTATTATTAATCATCATACATAGAGGCATGCATTGGTAAAATTAGATTTTTGAGTGTAAAGGTCCGCTTTAAGACATAACTGTGATTGTTATTCTATTTCTTGCTAGAAAACCAGTGAAGATGGTGATAGCAGCCTTTGCTGTTATCGTACCAGGATAGAACCCTGCAGCTTGTCTGCACAGGAACACAGCCGTCCATGGCAGGCGATGGCAACATGCAACCTTTATTGTAGTCCGCACTCTTATAATATTGTTTTTTTATGGGGGGAGGGGGGGGGGGGGGTTTGCAGTGCTGATTTTTATCGGGAATAAAGAAAAAATTGCCGAGCAGCTTCCTGCCCCCCACGCTGCCCCTTTTTTCCAGTCCACAGATAGATTAAGGCAGCCGCTCCCCCTGTCTGCTGCTTACCTACACATTACTGGTCAGTACAGCCACCCAAGGTGACTGTTATCACTTAATTAAATCCTTGCACGCTGAGATGAAAAAACAACAGTGCTCATTCATTCATAACCTGAGGAGAGAGGCCTGTCCTCCCTCCCTCTCTCTGCCTTATTCCTCCATTCCCTCCCTCCATCCCTGCCTATCCCTTGCCAATTTTCTTTCTACCTCTTATTTCAATCTAGCAGGGAAACCTCTGCAAGCTTTTAGTTTTGAAGAGATCATGTGGCATCTCTTGTCTCTGTCTTCCCAAGTTCTGATCAGCTTCTCTTGCCTTTGTCCGCGCTATTGTTTTGCTTTTTTTCCCGCCTTTGCCATTTTCTTTATGCTTATTTTTAATTATATTGGTTAATCCCTTTGTGCCATTTGAGTGCTTATTTGTTGGATTTAGATTTCTCTTCCTTGTAGATCTCTCCCTTTCCTGGTATTGTATAGGGTTATTCAGTTTTTAATGTTTCCTGTTTCCCTTGCTGCACTTTTCAGTATAAGCCTTTTGTAAACCAGGTAACCTTAGCTAATAAATCGGAAGTACTGGCTTGTAATGCGTGGCTATATTTACTTCCAACTTCCAAGGCCTAAACATGCATGCACCTTCTTATGCCTGTAATAGGTGCCCTAAGACATTAGGGAAACATCACAGGAGCCACTAGGGGGCACATGAGTTCTCTTTTTCATTGCTGTTGCACTGTGTTATCCTTTTTTTATCTGCGATGCTGTTTGGATCCTGGGTAAAGGTCTTGGTCATATGTAGCCTGCACGTAACACTGAACAGAAGTATATACATTTCCAAAGGTGACTTTTATTTCTTACCCATAACTGCAGTTGTTGGCATATTTATAAAGCAGTGAATGTAACATTCACCAAACATTCACTGGTGGCAAATCAATCACTGTTGTTTAAAACACATGCACCTGAAAGATTTGCCTGCATTGAATGTTTGTTGAATGTCAGATTCACTGCTTTATAAATATGGCCCTTATTGTTGGATAATATTTATTTCACCTTTGGCGCCAGCTCCCATTGGCTTCTCACCAACTCCGGATCATAAGCGGTGACCAGGAGTTGTCAGTGACAGCTTAGTCCTTGTGTCGGGATTTATGTGTGTTATACCAGCGGGAAGTGGTTGTATGTGGTATGTGCCTAGGCACTCCTGTGCCTACATACTCATAGCTGTATGTCTGCAGTGTGAGATTAAGGCCCTGCTGCCTCTGATTGCTAGATTTGGATTGAGATTTGGTAGTGTCACTGCTGTGCTGCTCACTGTGCTCCTTGGTGGAGGCTCTGACATGAGAAAGTAAAGCCCTGCCTCTACCAAGATGGCCACCTCTACACAGAGACACAGTGCAGAAAAAGGCATGGTAAGTCGGTAATGGGGTAAGATCAGCTGCAGAGAGTCCACCCTTTTTTGGGCATAGTTATCAGAGATCAGTTTCCCTATAGGGTGTATGAGGGTGCTTTTCTGTATACAGCTTTTTTTCCTGATAAAATGATGTATTGTGGGTTTCTAAGTACAGAAGACCAGGATTCACCATCTGACCACTTGGGGTCATTGTGGACCTGTGGAGCACCTTGTCTTTCTATTTAGGTTGGGTGCACTTGTTTGTGGTTTCTCCCATGTCTCCTACATCATGTGTTTTGGACAAGGCAGGTGAGATTAGGGAGACAGATAGGACTACATTAGGGGTATCTCTTCTCTATGCATTGATGAAATCCTAGCCTGAGTATCATTTTTTTTTTAAGGAACTTTATTGAAGTGTCACAAGTGAAACTTCATTTAGTTCTATGGGCACAGTGGGGTGCGAGGCGGTTGCACTGCGTCGTATTGCGCTGCTTTGAAAAAAAGTACAGCATGTCGTACTTTTTTTCAGTGCACGCCACCATTTTCCTATTGCAACACGATTGTGTGAACCGATCCTGTTCGTGACAAGGTAAATTGTGTTGGGGCTGTGCATGTGGGACAACGGCCAGCGCAACTCAAGTGCATCTGGCCCTAAAGGCATCAGGAAAAAGCACATCCTACTGTCTTATCTCCGATATGTCTTGCAGCTGTCTCATTGAAGTTGTGTATGTTCAAGGAATGCAACTTTGCACAGAGAACAGCTGTTTTCTGTGTAGTCCTACTTTACTGTCCATCCATTTTCCTTATCCCATCTGCTTTTTGCGAAAAAAAAGGGACAGGGATAGAAGTAAAAGCCTCTAGACCTAGGCTTTGTGTATTTGGAGATTAACATGAACATAGGTTCCCTGGCCAGCATGCCTTTGACTCATTTAGTAAACCATCCCTCAATTGACAAAGGTAATTTATTTAAAGGAAAACCTGCAGGCGGACATCTACCTTTTGAAAGTGCTAGTTTCCTGGTGATCTTGCTGATCCTCTATTTTTAACACTTCAGTTACTGACCATAGACGGTTGGGAAGATAAGGACATCTAACTTTCTCTAACTCTTCTGATCTGCAAATTTGGTCCAGGTCAGTCAATTAGTAAATACCAAAGCGGAGAGTAAGAATTACAGCCAGGTAGCAAGCATTTTTGAGTTGAGCAATGGCAGCCATCGTATCTCTCTGACGGATCTTGTTTTAATGGAAATCAAGGATAAAATATTTCTGTATATTTTGTGCACATTATTTACACATTTATATAATGTAATACCAAATAACCATCTTTTTTTTATTGATTAGTTATTTTATGAGTTACTTTTCTTTGAAGTCACTTAGACACTTGTCCAGAATTGGTCCCAATGAGATGTGAATGAGGAGCAGCTATGGTCATGTTTTTCCTTTGTATATCTGTGTGCAGCTTCTGCTCCCTCCGCTGACTTTGATGAGAACTGTCTATAATGCCACATTTTACCAGTACAGGATTTAAATGTTAACTGTCACTTTATGTGTGACTGTCTCTGCTTTTCCCCTTGCCTGTAGCACATTGCTGTCCTTCCCTTTTTGTGTCACTGTCTTATTTCCTTGTTGTAATTTTCTCAGCTTATAGCATTTCTGTGTTCATTATACCTCTGTTATTTCTACTTTCTCATTGTTTGCACTTGGCTGTCTCCTGTTCTCCTCCCTGCCTCTCTGTTTGTGACTGTCTCTTGTTCTTTTCCCTGCAGTCTCTGGACGGCTTTGTATTTGCACTAAATCAAGAAGGAAAGTTTTTGTACATTTCGGAGACTGTGTCCATCTACCTTGGCTTGTCTCAGGTGAGTGTCCCTCATCTGTTCCTCGCACTACAAAAGCCACTAATTCTGTTATAAACTGGTTACATGGGAGCTGCCTCACGAAAACAGGAGTAAAGAAAATCGGGAAAACGATGGAAAGTTTGTCCTTGACAACCAGTCAAGTCTTATCTTTTAAATCAAGCATGGAATCTGATTGGTCACTGTGCACAGTGGGTCCATGTTTGCTTCGGCTTTCTTTGCTCCAGTTTTTTACTAATCATAATGTTTTACTGTGGACCCATAGGAGAAATATACATGGCATACACTTATAGGGCACGTCTCACAGGTGCACTTCAGGCTTATTCGATATAAAGCACAAGGAGCAAAGTACTGTGATCGTAGAAGCCAGTTTGCCAGGCCAGCACAATATGGATTCCCCTTGGTTTCCGCACTACTCTTTGCTTTATAAATCCTGCACTGCTTTAATCAACAAGGTCATATAGCAGACATTCAAGCATACTATATCACATTTTCTATAGAGTCTAAACCTTAGTCTTTGCTTTATTTAATTAAAAACAAACAAGTTCTTCACAGTATATATTCATCTAATATATGGAATATATTGTGTTAATGAGAATGTATCACCCTGGTGGATACAGTGTAACTTTATACTTGTAGATGTCGCCTGTCAATGTACCAAGAGCTAATGTGTGAATAATAGCACTACTGTTCTTACACTGATAACCTGTATGTTAGTTTAACCAAAACTGGTGCATCAGATCTCTATAGGGGATCTGCTTTTAGTCAGAGTTAGAAATTCTCTTTAAAAAGTCTCCCTTCAACAGTCTTTAAAAACAAATATGTATGAGTCTGCTGAATGTATGTCAGTTAGTTTGCTGACTACACATGATCAGTCGTATTCACCTTAGTATATGTGTGACATCCTTTTTGTTCTGCCCTTTGTGTATCATTGTTGTGTTTCCGTGGCTCCCATTTAGTACTTAGTAGACAAGTCCCGATGCTGTTGGCTGTACCTGCGATTATATGTAACATTTACCTTCTCTCAGTGGTTTTGTGCTCTTTGCCTGCTGTGACCTGGGAGAGGGCAGTCAAGTGTCCCTGTTGTCTCTGGGGTCCCATTAACAGCTAATCCAGGTCCAGATGTGTGCCATGGGATGTGACACTGTCACCATTGTCTGCTCACCTATCCCATTAAATAAAGTTTGATAGAGGAATGCCTGCAGTGCATTTTAATATGGTTATGATGAACAAATGGGACCCATCTCCTTATTTCCCTGAATGAAAGTTCTTCCAGAAGGGGCAGGACATCTGTCTCTAACTACAGGAACAATGAGGATTCAGTCAAATATTTGGAAAACATGACAAGTCTTTCTGCCTGCTTGAATTATCATTGTACATAATTGCTGCTTGGTGTTTTTCCATTAACTCTATTGCATTGACACACTGCAGAGTGCTCTGGGGTATTGTTCTGTAGAGAAATAAGAACATTCTTCAATTAGGTGTTGTGAAGAGCAGTACAGCACTTTGGGAAGATATGTGCATGAATGGCAACATGGCAGTCAGGTTTACTGGAAGGTAATTAAAAGTGCAGTTATGTCATGGTGAGCTGGAATAACCAGCACTGCAAAGTGATGCTGAATATCCTATAAGAACAGCTGATAATCCCGCAGTATAATGGGGGAGCAGATTTTAAGACAGCAGTGTAGTGATAAGAAAGATACAATCCAGCGATGTGAACATAAAAAGAAAATATTCCAGCCATACGATATTATGGAGTTTGTAATCCAGCAAGGTTATAGTAGGGAGGTTGTAATCCAGCAGTGTGATATTAAAGATGTAATTCAGCATTGTGATAGTATAGAGATTGTTATGCAGCATTGTGATAGTATAGAGATTGTTATGCAGCAATGGGATAGTATAGAGATTGTTATGCAGCACTGTGATAGTATAGAGATTGTTATGCAGCATTGTGATAGTATAGAGATTGTTATGCAGCATTGTGATAGTAGAGCGATTGTTATGCAGCATTGTGATAGTACAGAGGTTGTTATGCAGCATTGTGATAGTACAGAGGTTGTTATGCAGCATTGTGATAGTATGGAGGTTGTTATCCGGCAATGTGATAGTACAGAGATTGTTATGCAGCAATGTGATAGTATGGAGATTGTTATGCAGCAATGTGATAGTATGGAGGTTGTTATTCGGCAATGTGACAGTATGGAGATTGTTATCCGGCAATGTGATAGTATGGAGGTTGTTATCTAGCAATGTGATAGTATGGAGGTTGTTATCTAGCAATGTGATAGTATGGAGGTTGTTATCTAGCAATGTGATAGTATGGAGGTTGTTATCTAGCAATGTGATAGTATGGAGGTTGTTATCTAGCAATGTGATAGTATGGAGGTTGTTATCTAGCAATGTGATAGTATGGAGGTTGTTATCTAGCAATGTGATAGTATGGAGGTTGTTATCTAGCAATGTGATAGTATGGAGGTTGTTATCTAGCAATGTGATAGTATGGAGGTTGTTATCTAGCAATGTGATAGTATGGAGGTTGTTATCTAGCAATGTGATAGTATGGAGGTTGTTATCTAGCAATGTGATAGTATGGAGGTTGTTATCTAGCAATGTGATAGTATGGAGGTTGTTATCTAGCAATGTGATAGTATGGAGGTTGTTATCTAGCAATGTGATAGTATGGAGGTTGTTATCTAGCAATGTGATAGTATGGAGGTTGTTATCTAGCAATGTGATAGTATGGAGGTTGTTATCTAGCAATGTGATAGTATGGAGGTTGTTATCTAGCAATGTGATAGTATGGAGGTTGTTATCCGGCAATGTGATAGTATGGTGGCTGTTATCCGACAATGTGATAGTATGGAGGTTGTTATCTAGCAATGTGATAGTATGGAGGTTGTTATACAGCAATGTGATAGTATGGAGGTTGTTATCCGGCAATGTGATAGTATGGAGGTTGTTATCCTGCAATGTGATAGTTCGGAGGTTGTTATCCGGCAATGTGACAGTATGGAGATTGTTATCCGGCAATGTGATAGTACGGAGGTTGTTATCCGGCAATGTGATAGTATGGAGGTTGTTATCCGGCAATGTGATAGTATGGAGGTTGTTATCTAGCAATGTGATAGTATGGAGGTTGTTATACAGCAATGTGATAGTATGGAGGTTGTTATCCGGCAATGTTATAGTATGGAGGTTGTTATCCGGCAATGTGACAGTATGGAGATTGTTATCCGGCAATGTGATAGTACGGAGGTTGTGATAGTATGGAGGTTGTTATCCGGCGTTGTTATCCGGCAAAGTGATAGTATGGAGGTTGTTATCCGGCAATGTGATAGTATGGATGTTGTTATCCGGCAATGTGATAGTATGGAGGTTGTTGTACAGCAATGTGATAGTATGGAGGTTGTAATCTAGTGCTGTGTTGATGAGAAGGACATAATCCAGCAACATGATGTTGAGACTATAATCGAGCAATTTATTGCCTAAATGGTTCTAATCCAGTGATTTGTTCATGAGCAGATATAATCCAGAAAGCCTGCTGTATAAAGGATATAACCCAGTAAGATGACTGACCAGTGATGTGATAGAAAACATTATATGAACCAATGATGCTGTGCTAAATCATGTGATTTGTAATTGGTGTGTGTCTATGTGTGAATAGCACAATGGTGAACTCTTTGTATCCTGATCTTTTAAATGTGAATTGTTTATAGTTCAGTGATGTGATAACAGATTAGTTGTCAGCATCAAGGCTATTGCTGTTATCCAGCAATTTATTAGCAGGCAGATTCAAATCTGGTCATGTGACAAATTATAGCACGGCAATCAAATTATAATCCTAGCAGATTATAGGTAATGTTAAACAAATGAAATATCAGTGAAAGGGTCAGACAGAGCTTCTACTTCTACAATGTTGTGGATGCATGGATCATTCAGTAAACTGCACTGTAGATGTGCAGTTTACACTGCCATCGTGTATACATTGGAATGCATTGCATGCTTAGAACACCACCATAAATATGACACCTTTGGGCTGCAATAGTATGTTCTGGAAGTGCATTTTATGGCGATATCCATATATTATGCTTTAATTTGGGAAGCCCTGGAGGCCATCACTGGTATTACATTATACATAAGTGATTTGACAGCATCGCTTGACAAGCATATACTGACTGTTCCAGGATATATAATTATATTATGTTGTATCATATAGCAGTGTCTAGCATACAATTCTATGTGCTGCCTACTCTGTAATAACCTACAATGTGCAGTCTATATTATCCAAGACTTCCTAACCTATACTTTCCTGTGACGCACCATCTAACATGGCCAGGAGCCAATCATAGCTAACCCCTTCTCTATACAGAATGAAGTACTCAGACTATACAGCTGTCACTATAACAGGTCCAAAAGACATAATATCATAAACCTAAAATGTGTTAATAAAGTGAAATCCTCATCTACGTTACCTTGTGCTCTAGATGTCTTGTAATGCTGATTTCTAGGCAAACATCTCATCACCAGGTGACGAGGAAGCATGGAGCCGGCATTCTGGCCAATCAGGAAGCCGGGGGCAGGTAATGCCTTGCTGCCAGGCTTCCTGATTTGACCAGCTTCCCGACCAATCAGGAAGCTGGGCGGCGAGTCATTACATGCCACCCAACTTCCTGATTGGACAGGATGCTGGCTCCATGCTCCCTTGTCACCAAGTGACGAGGGAGCATGCAGCTGGCATGCCGGGCAGCGTGTATCGGGATAGGCATACTAGTATCGGTATCGGTGCATACCTGCCAGAGAGACATGGTAACTGCCAGTCAGCTAACCTTTTCAGAAGCCAGCAGTGACTAACTCTATATTTCTTCCATGACAGATTTACTTTAAATTTAATGGATACAAAAAATTATGACAAGTCATATGTTTACTTCTACCCTATCACATATTCGAAGCAAGTAAAAGTGTACAGATCATTTGGTTGCTATAGTGTATTGCAGATTTGATTT